AGTTCCCCTGCCGGCCACGTGATCCAAGCCTCGGCTACCAGTGGGCCCATCAGCCTGCAGCCTACGTTGCCCCGAGGACAGGGCGCGATTGTGCCTGTCCGCTGCACCAGGTGTTGCCCTGCTTAACGGGAATGTGAAGCCAACAATAAATAACTTTTCGGCGGGCCCCATAAATTTGCCTTGATAAGATCTCAAGACCGGTAGCGACGGTGGACGACTGTGGGATGACCTGTATGCGGAAACACAAGGGTAAGAAACGAAAGGATTGCTCACAACCGGCGTCTTCAGGACCGCCTACAACCCCCCTGCTGATGTTAAGCTCATAAAAACTGACCTAACGCTCTCCAATCTTAGATACTGCCTAATAAATGTGGTTGTTAAGCCAATCTACTCAAAGCGCGGAGCGGAAACTATGCGAGATCTGGTGGTAATTTCGTGTCGGGATGTTAGCGCATCGGATTGTAGGGGGTCAGCTGTGCTCATGTCGACATGCAACGGGTTATGAAGTCTTGTGAGTCAAAACACGTGACCTACTCATTTTCTCCACTTGATACTGCGTCCACTGAGCCAAGAAAGACTGAGATAGCGCGCACAGAAGTAACCTTGCTGGTAACCTCGATCAGGAATATACAAATCTGTGAATAGACTGTTTGCCGCACTGCTTACGACGCCGGTCGATGTTCTGTGATCAAACTGATGTTGCATTGAAGACACCGGGCACGTGCGGAAGAGGGAAGAGAGAGAGTGCGGTTGATACAGATACGATTACTTAAAACTAACTGATTCACAAGTCCCGCGTTTGCTTTCTGTTACGACCCGCGGCTGGTACTTGTAATTAGAACGAACTCTGAGCTATCCCGGTTGTTGTCCCCAAGGCCCAGTACGACAGAACATGAGAATTCTATCAGCCATGAGGGAAGTGTATTAACGAAAAACAAGCCAGAGCCAGTCACTGCATGTCAAGCAAGTCACTCTCACAAAATGCTGCGGGGTATTTATTCAGTCAGCTTCAGGAGGGAGCGTCGGCGACAATGGTCCAATCAGCTATGACGAAAAATCGATAGCTACGATGCGTGCTCACATTGTCGCGGCGTGACAGCTGCGCTCCAGCGCCTTTCTGTGCTGCGGCGCATCGTGGAAATGGACGCATTTCCAACACTTTCAGCTTTCTCAAGCAAGTGATGGACAACGTTAGAAGGTCGAATTGTCACCTTCATGGTGCAGTGTTCAAACCTCTGTCAGATTTTAGCCCAGGTGACAGTTCGATCGTCGTCTTCGAACAGGTCCACCACTCTTCACAACAGGCCGGTACAGAGACGGGGTCTTGCGTTGGATTATAGTGGGAGTAATATTAAGCTGCGTCTACTTCACATTCTCTTTCATTCTCCCATGCTGGTCCTGTGTCAGGACAAAGTCAAAAAGACCGGAGGCGGGAGAGGGCGAGCCTAGATAGCACGCAGTAGACACAGG